GTCGGGTTAGCAGTGGAAGGGTGGAAGTCCAGGGAGAGGAGGACTTCTTTCACCTTGTTGTGCCATTCGCGAGGGGCTTGCTTAAGGCCGTAGACGGGGCGATTCAGCTTCAGACAGTGTTGGGAGGGAATTCTCCTGGGAAGCCTTCTGGTCTGTCCATGAACACTGTCGCCTTGAGACGTCCTTGTAGGAAGGCGGATGAGGCATCCATGGATTTGATCTCAAAATCTTCTCGAGCTGCGACATCCATGAGCGTACAAATGGTGGGAGGTTTGGATGTGGGGGAGAAGGTTAGGAAGAAGTCGCGGTACTGCTGCTGGATGAAGCCCTTGGCTACGTAACGCGCTTTGAACACCGGGGCCTTGTCTGGGAGCTGTTTTACACGGAACAACCACTTGCCCCCGACGATGTTGACTCCTGAAGGTGGAGTCTCGTCGTCGAAGGAGTGGTTGTGGGTGAATGCTGCAATCTCCGCTTCCATGGCAGCACGCCATTCGGCAGCATGAGGGCCTGAGAGAGCCTCTGGGACGGTGAGAGGGATAGGGATGGTCGGGTTCTCCGCGAAGTTGAGGGAGGGTGAGTCAGTGATGTCGGGGAAGATGTGCGAGAGCTGAGGAATGACTGCATGAAGATCACACACCTCCACATGCCCGTCTTCCGGAAGGGTAGAGGGCACATCCCTCCTCAGCAGGAGGAGGCGGTGTGATCGCCGTTGTATCGAAGAACCAGCGCTAGTGGAAGAGCAGCGCCATGCGAACGAGTGCCATGAGCCACCGGAGAAGAGGGTGGGGCAGGAGGTGTCGGAGGGGTTGACTTAGGAGGCTTGGGCGGGGGAATGGGCCGCTGGTGGTACGTGATCAGCTCGGGCGACTGTGGGAGAGCGGGTTCCTCTGTGGTGGGGGGAACCGGGGGAGGAGGTGGGGCCGGAGGGTGGGACCGTCGATGGTAGGTGATAGGTGCGCTCGGAGGTGGCTGCACAGGCGGCGGAGTGGGAAGTGAGGGGGATGGAGGAGTAGTTGCCGAAGACACCGGTGAGGGCGGGTCAGAGACCTCAGAGGGGGACGGTGCGGTGGCAGGAGGGGTAGGAGGTGAAGGGGCCGGAGCAGGCGGGAGGTCAGGGGGCGCATCAAAGTCTGCCCACACGAGGGAGGGTGGATCAGGGAGAGGGTCCCGTCCCGAAGTGGAGTAGAATGGGCGGGTCTCATCAAAGACAACGTCGCGGCTCCGGACCAACTGTTGAGTGGAGGGATTGAGGAAGAGGTAGTCAGGCGAGTCGGCGTTGTGCCCGAGGTAGATGCACGTCTGGGTCTTGGGACCGAGCTTGCCGCCGTGCTGCCGTCGAGCCTGAGGGTTGAGGAGGACATAGGCGGTGCACCCCCAAACGCGAAGAGAGCGAGCAGTGGGCGTTTTCCCGAGCCAGAGTGTGGTTGGAGTGGTGTCGGGAAGATGCGGGTGGGGGTAAAGGTTGTAGAGGAGGGCGGCGTGGTAGAGAGCGTACCCCCAGAGAGAGTGCGGAGCGTTGGAGTGGCTAAGGAGGCACCGAGTGATCTGCACCAGGGTGTGGTTGCGGCTCTCAGCTATGCCGTTCTGCTGCGGGCTGTCAGGAGGGTGAAGTTTTGCTGGATGCCTTCTGAGGAGCAGAAGGCTTTGAGCTTGTCGTTGCAAAACTCACCACCACCATCTGAGTGGAGGCGCTTGACTTTGCGGTCAAAGGCGGTCTGTGCCTGTTTAACCCACGCCATGAGGACCTCTGGAACCGCAAGCCTTAGTGTGGAGGAGGTGAACAGAGACGTAGCGAGAGTGGTCATCGACGATAACAAGGAAGTAGCGATAACCACCTCGTGCGGGAACAGGGGCAGGGCCCCAGACGTCCAGGTGTACCAGGTCCAGTGGTCTTGCTGCGACAGAGGGCGAGGCCGGGTGGGGCTGTTGACGCAGTTTGCTCTTGGTGCAGTCAAGGCACGTGGGAGCGGGGGAGTCTGGTGGTGGAGGAAGTGAGGCTGTTAGGCCGAGTAGAAGTTTCTTGGAGGCCATGTCAGCAAGTGTGCGGAAGTTTGGGTGCCCGAGCCGATGGTGGTAGAGTATGGTCGGGTTGGAGTAACTGCGGCACGAGCATGGTGAGGTAGACGCCGCTGTTTGGGTGGTTGACACCTGTGGGATGGGTACTTGCAGCGTGTAAAGGCCGCTGCTAGTTGAGGGTGAAACGAGTCAAGACCTTGTTGATGAGTGGGTCGAGGATATCACCATAGTTCTCGTTCTCCCTGAAGATGGTGCGTAGCCCAGCTTCCTGAATTTCCGTTTGGGCCACGAGATTGTGGCAGAGTGAAGGCACACACATTCCAGTGATAGTGGCGGAAGGGAAGGCGGGGCACGAGACTGTGGATGAACCCTTGGCATGAGTGGTGAAGCTTGAGTCAGCTCCTAGGAGAGGGATGGGTGTTGCGTAGGGTTTGAAGGAGAGTGTCCTCCTTGAGTACAGTGTGTGTGGCGCCGTTGTCGAGTGTGAACTCTATGTATTGTGGTGCTTGTGATGAGCCGAGGTACTGGGAGGAAGCTTCATTAATCATGGCAGTGCCAGGAAACAGCAGGTTGATACGCACATCAGTAGGAGCACTATCACTAGCACTAGCCGAAGCGGGGTCCGGGACCTCAACTAGGTTGGCCTTACGAGGGCGCATTTAGTTTGGCGGCTTCTTGTCCACTCCGTGAATGGCATACCATTCGTCGTCTTTCTTCTTGAAGCACGTAGCAAGGGGGTGGTTAGTGCCACCACACATTTGTCCATTGCGGTTGCCATACTTGACGACATAGGTGCACGGAGGGAACCAGTTGCGCTGGAAGGGCGCCGAGGCGAGGGCCGATGCAACACTTGCTTGCGGCATGGGAGCGCGGATGGCGTAAGCCTTGGCTTGAGCCGTGGAATCTTTCTCAGCAGAGAGGAGTGCGGATGAGACCTTAGTAAATGTGAGGTCTTCCGCTGAGAGCGTGAGGAGCATCTTTTCTCGTTACTTCATATGCCGAGGTGAGACCAACAAGAAGGGCGGCTGCAGGGGCTTGTTCGGGGAAAACTATGCCCAGCCTCTTCAGTTCGCCATGAATAGTCTGCACCTTGGCGATGTAGTCAGCCATTCCCGAGCAATCCTCAAGGCGGACCTGGAACATGCTGGGGATGAGGATGGCAACTCCGACCGCCGTTTTGTTCATGAACCGATCCTGGAGGTACTTCCAGATGGCGTTGGAGGTAGGGTAGTTGTGGAACGTGTTGACTAGTTCGGGAGGGGTGGGAGGCAATGAAGACGCTGATGATAGCAGCATCTGCCTTCTCCCATTTCCGGTACTTCTCAACAGCTTCCTCGTACGCCCTCATGTCAGTATCACTAGCGGATTCGGTCGGCTCAAGGGGGGAAGGGGGTTGTTTTCCCTTGCCACGGTTGAGGAGAACGTCCTTGAGGTCCAAATCCCTGCACGTCATGACTCAGGAGGTGCTTGTCAACCCCGTAGCTCCATGCCTTGAAGTTGGAGCTAGAGCCTCGGCTTCAAGGAGGAGCGGGGTGATGGGGTTGGCCATGGTGGACGAGGAGTAGGCCATGATGAAGGCCCCTTAATGTCTTGCGCCTGTGCGCCCCTTACCCACATGGCATCCTTGCCTGTGCGCCCCTCACCCACGTGGCATCCTTGCCTGTGCCGCCCTCACCCACATGGCATCCTTGCCTGTGCGCCCTCACCCACATGGCATCCTTGCCTGTGCGCCCCTCACCCACATGGCATCCTTGCCTGTGCGCCCCTCACCCACATGGCATCCTTGCCTGTGCGCCCCTCACCCACATGGCATCCTTGCCTGTGCGCCCCTCACCCACATGGCATCCTTGCCTGTGCGCCCCTCACCCACATGGCATCCTTGCCTGTGCGCCCCTCACCCACATGGCATCCTTGCCTGTGCGCCCCTCACCCATATGGCATCCTTGCCTGTGCGCCCCTCACCCATATGGCATCCTTGCTTGTGCGCCCCTCACCCACATGGCATCCTTGCCTTGTGCGCCCCTCACCCACATGGCATCCTTGCCTGTGCGCCCCTCACCCACATGGCATCCTTGCCTGTGCGCCCCTCACCCACATGGCATCCTTGCCTGTGCGCCCCTCACCCACATGGCATCCTTGCCTGTGCGCCCCTCACCCACATGGCATCCTTGCCTGTGCGCCCCTCACCCACATGGCATCCTTGCCTGTGCGCCCCTCACCCACATGGCATCCTTGCCTGTGCGCCCCCTCACCCACATGGCATCCTTGCCTGTGCGCCCCTCACCCAACATGGCATCCTTGCCTGTGCGCCCCTCACCCACATGGCATCCTTGCCTGTGCGCCCCTCACCCACATGGCATCCTAGCCTGTGCGCCCCTCACCCACATGGCATCCTTAGCCTGTGCGCCCCTCACCCACATGGCATCCTTGCCTGTGCGCCCCTCACCTCTGCTGGCCTCACAATGGCATCCTTGCCTGTGCGCCCCTCACCCACATGGCATCCTTGCCTGTGCACCCTCACCCACATGGCATCCTTGCCTGTGCGCCCCTCACCCACATGGCATCCTTGCCTGTGCGCCCCTCACACCGCTAAGGCTTCTCGCTCTCAACCACCCCTCCCCTCCTTGAAACGCCGATGAAGGCCCACAAAGCCGATTAGTTAGGTCGGTCAACCGAGCTTGCAGCTTTCTATCCGTTTCCTTCGTTTGAGGCTTCTCGCTCTCAACCACCCCTCCCCTCCTTCTCCCCTCACTCAACCCCATCTGTGAGAGCCTTGTCTGTGAGCAGGTCCGATGCAAGGTGCGAGTAGAGAGAGCAAAGGGGCAGCAGCAGCACATCACAAGATACGCCTGGTCACTAACTAAGGGGTCGCCACTCTAAAGCTCCCACTCACCCGCACGGCATTCTTGTCTGTGAGCAGCAAATACGACCCTCACGCTCTTCCCTTTACCCCCCCCCCCCCCATCCCACCTCACTCTCACTCATTCACGCTTGCCCCTGCTCCCGTCCCCACTCTCCCGCACGGCGTCCTTGCCTGAGCGCGTGAGATCCTTGTCCGTGAGCAGGCCAGTTGCCAGGGGCGAGTAGGGCACAGGCAGGCACTGGCAGCACAGCACAGGCCAAGCTCTTGTGAAAAGAGTATTTTTGAGACGTCTCAAAAATGCTCTTCTTACACGTGGATCCATGAGCAGGTCGGATGCGAGTGGTGAGTAGGGCACAGGCAGGCACCAGCAGCACAGCACAGGCCAAGCTCTCCCATTCATCTCTCCCTCCTCCCCCACCCCACCCCCACTCACCCGCACAGCATCCTTGTCTGAGCTCGTGAGAGCCTTGTCCGTGAGCAGGCCGGTTGCCAGGGGCGAGTGGTGCACACGCAGGCACTGGCAGCACAGCACATGCCAGGCCACTAAGGGTTTGAAGCTCAAAATTCGCTCTCACCCGCACGGCGTCCTTGTCTGAGCGTGTGAGGGCCTTGTCTGTGAGCAGGCCTGATGCCAGGGGCGAGTAGGCTATGAGCGACACTTGCAGGTCCTGGCATGGTGGGGAGTGGGGACAGGGGGGAGGATGGGGAGGAGGTGGGGAGGAGGGAGGCGGGCAGCGGATGGGGCATGTCAGGGGCGAGTAAGGCAAGAGTGACGATTGCAGGTGCTGAGACTGGGGGGGGGGGGGGGGAGGGGAGGGAGGGGAGGGGTTGGGGGAGAGGGTGGGGGGAAAGATTGGGGATAGTGTGTGTGAGGTTGGAAAGGGGTATGAGGGGGCAACGGGGATGGGGATTAAGGAGATGTGGATGACGTGGATGACGTGGATGATGTGGATGATGTGGATGATGTGGATGACGTGGATGACGTGGATGATGTGGATGATGTGGATGACGTGGATGACGTGGATGACGTGGATGACGTGGATGATGTGGATGATGTAGATGACGTGGATGATGTGGATGACGTGGATGATGTGGAATGATGTGGATGATGAGAACTGAACTGCGCAACTCATGCCACCTGCCATCCCATTGCAAAAAAACATGCCCTAAATGATCAACACGTGGCCAAACCACCCCATGCCCCCCTCCCGCTCACTGCCCCCCCCCCCACCCCCTCGCTCTCCCCCCCTTCACTGCTCCCCAGCACCACCATGAGGCTTGTTGCTCACCTTGCATGAGTGCAGTGCAGTGAGGCTCGTACACAATGACTTTGAGAATTCTCAAAAGCATCCTGCACTATAATTTCGTTCCCTGTGGTTGTGAAACACCCCACACTCCCCCACTGAGCCCTCCCTCCCACCCCGCTCACTGCCCACCTTGCATGCGTGCAGCATGGCGCTGGTCTCTGTACCTCGGTCCAGTAGGCTGGTGCGATGTGTTGCAGTGCCCTGTGACTGTTATCCCCTGTGTCCGTGACCCGCCCTCTGCTCCCCCCACTCGCCCCCCTCCCCGCATCCCCCCACTCGCCCCCCTCCCCGCATCCCCCCACTCGCCCCCCTCCCGCATCCCCCAGTGCCCACCGTGCACGCCTGCAGCAGGCCGCTAGTCTCTGTCCCTCGGTCCAACAGGCTGGTGTCATGTGCCATGCACGGGGGGGTGCGGTAGGGAGGGACGAGGGATGAAGGGTAGAGAGAAAGGGATGGTTGGTGAGGGAGAGGAGTGTTGGAAGAGAGGAGAGGAGAGGAGGAGGAGAGGAGAGGAGAGGAGAGGAGACATAGGTGAGAGGGGAAGGTGAGGAAAAAGAGGGGGCAAGCGCTACAGGCACAAATCTGCCTCACTTTCAGATTACTCCTACCGTGAAAATAATTGACTCAACAAACAGACGTGAGCATGGGAATTTTTTGCTAACTGTTTCCTGGTGGCTTCTGAGTCGACTCGAAAGTCACATGGGTATTTCGGCTTTCTGATTCCATGCAACAAGACTGAATTCCGTGATTACACGTGCGATTCATGTCAGGATATTCCCATGCTCAAGTCGATGCCCCAGTGAATTCAAAAATGCGCTCACTTGAACTTGACTTGGTTGGAGGCCAGGGGGATGCTGGCCGCTTTGAGAAGGGAATGCGCCTCTTGCAGCTGGTGGGATGAAAGGGGGGCAGGAGTGTTGGTGGGGGGGTCGGCCGGGATAAGGAAGGGAGCAGAAGGGTGACTATTGGATTGATCCAAAAGCCACCTTGCTGCTCTGAGAAGGGAATGCGCCTTCTGGTGGGGGGGAGGGGAGAGGTAGAGGGCGAGCAAAAAGGAAGTGGGAGGGGAGTAGCAGGTGCGATCAATGGCAAGGATCTGGAAAGTGGAAAGTGGATCTGGAAAGTGGACGGAGGGAAGGGAGGGAAGCGAAGGAAGACAGAAGATACGGCGTCTTGGAGAGTTGGCCTCATCTTCTCCAGATTTACCTGCCGCATGCATGCTTTAGTTTACTCCGCGACACCAACAGCTCTTGTCCTGCTCCTATGCATGTGAACCTGCTGCTACCTACCAACACTGCTCTCTCCCCCAGCACTACCTGTGTTGTGTTATATTTTCCAAGTGACTTTTGAGTCGACTCAAAAGTCACCTCGCTACCTGTGGTGTGTTATATTTTGCAAGTTCTCAAGATCCCGACATCACCCACTCCTACCAGCCCTCACTCTCTCCCCAATCACTACCTGCTGTGTGCTATAGCTCCACACACCAACAGCCGTGCCTTCTCACCCACCATCACCCGCTCCTTCTACCCACTCTACACCCCCTAACTCTACCTCCAATCACTACCTGCTGTGTGCTATAGCTCCACACACCAACAGCCGTGGCCAGCCCCTCTGCATTCATCCGCTTGAGAGCCACGTATTAGGCAGAAAACCTTGTGTTCGCGGCCAAGCACGCTTGTGTTATAAAGCATGCACTCGTACTCGTGTCAGGGTCGACCAGCAAAGCACCACACCTAAACCTACAGGCTACTAACCCTCGCTCTCCCCCCAAACTCTACCTGCTGTGTGTTATAGTTGGACACCCCCACAGCCGTGGCCAGCCCCTCTGCATGCGCCTGCTTGAGCCCGTCCATTAGCGTGGCGTTGCTGATGGTGGGGAAGGGGAAGTGGATCTGCCAGGGAAGGGAGTGGAGGGAAGGGGCGAGAGGCATGGGGGAGGAGATTACACGGTGGGGGGAGAGGCATGGGGGAGGAGATTACATGGTGGGGGGGAGAGGCATGGGGGAGGAGATTACATGGTGGCGTTACATGGGGGAGATTACAATGCTCGGGAGGGGCAGAAGGGAACAGGGAGAGGGGAAAGGAGGCGAGGTGGTTACAAGCCCTCGGTATGTATGCCTGCCTGCTTGAGCGTTACAAGCCCATTAGAGTGGTGTTGCTGGCTGATGGGAGGGGAAGGGGAAGTGGGTCTGCTCGGGAAGGGAGTGGATGGAAGGGAACAGGACGAGGGGAAAGGAGGGGAGGTGGTGACAAGCCCTCTGCATGCGCCTGCTTGAAACCCGCCCATTAGAGTGGTGTTGCCGATGGTGGTGAAGGGGAACGTCGATTTGACAGGCAAGGGATAGGGGCGATGCACGGAAGGGGGGCGATGCATGGAAGGGGGGAGATGCATGGAAGGGGGAGATGCACCGGAAGGGGGGGGATGCACGGAAGGGGGGAGATGCACGGAAGGGGGAGATGCACGGAAGGGGGAGAATGCACGGAAGGGCATGGCCCGTCCATCTAGATGACACAATCGCATCTTAGGTAACACAATGCCGTCAGCATATGACTTACGTTCTTCCGCAGTTGTCATATGGCTCACCATACGTCGTGTTGGCGGAGGCAGCAAATGGTGCAGGTGCTACCTGGTGCAGGTGATACCTGGTGCAGGTTCCACCTGGTGCAGGTCACACCTGGTAGAGATCAACTCGCTCCATGCCGAGGCGCTGCAGGCTCGCCTTGAGAGCATCTATCAGCGACTGGCGGCCGAATCGCAGCCCGCCACCTGGCATGGGGGCGACGCATTTGAGGATTGGCGGTGGTGGAGAGGGAGAGGGAGAGGGAGAGGGAGAGGGAGAGGGAGAGGGAGGGGACACATTGTCTCTGCAAACGGCGACTGGCGGAGAGGTTGGTCCCAGAATTTGGTGGCTGCGACAGGCGCAGCAGGGGAGTGCGAGCTATCGCATCCCTCAACCGGGCTTGACGTGTGTGCTTACATGATGCATCGCCCAGACGTACCCACGAGCACGTTGGTCCACGGGATGGTGAAGAACTTGGAGGGCCGCTACAGGGCACCGGGAAGGGACTGCCTTAGACTCCTCACTCCCAATTGCCGAGACTCTGAGGCGCAGCGCAGCCCCCAGCCGGGCTGGGCATGCACACAGACATCCCGCACGTACCCACGAGCACGTTGGTCCAGGGAATGGTGAAGAACTTGGAGGCCGCTACAGGTGCAGGGGCAGGGAGCAGGCTACAGGTGCAAGGAAACTCCCCACCCTGGGGCTTCAGAGGCTGCACGCACCCACGAGCAGGTTGGTCCAGGGAATGGTGAAGAACTTGGAGCTGCTACAGGCGCCGGGGGACTGCGAGCTGTCGCTCCCCTCCTGGAGCCTTCTCGCCTTCTCCTCCGCCACGAACCTTCCCAGAAGCTGCTCGGAGGAGTTCCCAGTTGGGATGCTTTGGTAGCCGTAGACCTGCGAGGGGAGGAGGGAGGGGAAAAGAGGGGGAAGAGGGGGGAAGAGGGGGAAGAGGGGGAAGAGGGGGAAGAGGGGGAAGAGGGGGAAGAGGAGGGGTAGGAGGGGAAAGAGGGGAAAGAGGTCTTCTGAGGGCGCCTCAAAAGCGGTTGGGATGCTTTGGTAGCCGTAGACCTGCGAGGGGAGGAGGGAGGGGGGGAAAGCGGGGAAAGAGGAGGGGTACGAAAGGGGGATTAGGGGGGATGCAGGGGGGGGGGAAGATCGAGGAGAATGAAGTCGACCATAGGTGGGAGAACGGGGTGCAGGGCCAGGAAGGGAACTTCATATTAGCATGTAACAGAAATGTTCTCAATAATCGAAATGTAACAGCATGTAATCCGACTAAGTCTGCTCAGGAGTTTGACCTAGCGAACACCTCTGCAGAATCAAACAGGTTGATGCCGCCCGCCAGCGCCGCCCGGAAGGCCTCTGCAGGTCAGCAGCGGAGTACTGTTCACCGAAGCCCGACCGCGGATCGCCCCATTGGAGTGTGCCGATTCCCAGCGGTGACACACACAGCTCTGATTGGCCGAGAGGAATGAGCGGCTCGGAAGAGTGGGAGGGGAGGAGGGGGCTGGACAGGTGGGGCGGGGGGAAGAGGGGAGGGGGTGGGGGGATGGGCGGGTGTGTGGGTGGGTGGGGTGTGTGGGTGAGTGAGGGGCAGGGCAGAGCGAAGGAAAGCAGAGCAAAGAGCAGACTGGGCTTGCGAATGACAAAAATGGTGATTCCTGTTTCAGGTTTCAAATTGGTGAATGCTTTTGATGGGCCCCTGAGGGGGGGAGGGGTGGGTGGGGGGAAGGGAGAAAGAGGGCAGCGCGGTGCGAACAGGAGGCTGGGAGCAGCGCAGTGCGGAGCGGCGGGGGCGCAGCGGAAAAGGGGTCCGCGGATAGGCGGGTGAAAGGGCGGGTTGGCGACGGAAAGGGGGCTTATCGTGGGGGGATGAGGGGCGAGGAGGAGGGGAAAGAGATAAGGGTGAGGCGGGGCGGGAGGTTGGAGTAGTGACGAAATCACCTGTATTCGAGGGGGAGGGGGAGAGGAGGAGGGGGGTTGAAAGGCGGCCAAGTTACCTGAATTCGAGGAAGACGATGCGCAACAAGACGGGTGGGGAGTGGGAGGGGGGAGGTAGTGAGGATGGATAAGCGACGAAACTACCCGAATTCGAGGGAGAAGATGCGGTGACGGACGAACTACGGGAGGTCCTCGCAACGAGGCGCCGTCCTTGGAAGGGAGACGTCGGGGTACACGCGGCGCGGGTTGAAAGCCGCGTCGCAGCGAAGTGAAACTGAGCTGTGAATGGCTGCTGGCAGGGTGGCACTGATTGCTGCCATGATGCTGACGTGGCAGCTGGGATTCACAACCGGCTAAGGCGAACTTTTAGTCTATCTAAAAGGGATGTTCGAGAACCGTCACTCGAACCTATCGCCGTCTACTCGCCCTGCGCGAATTGCGGCGATTTCGAGCTGAGGATAGCAGTTGAGTAACAACAATTCAAAATTTCCGATATAAAGTGACTCGACAAAGGGACACTCGTTGAGGCTGTAACCTTGGACCAACATTTTTATACTTTTGTTTGGTGCATGTTCTATTGCATATCGAGCTCGCGGCTGTACAGTACTTGGAAATACAGTGGAGCTGAGGAACCCACCAACTCACCAATTCACGACGTTCTTCAGAACTCAACTCACTCGACGAAATCGAGTCGCGAAATTGCGGATTCGTCGTCCATTCAACCTGAACACTCTGGAGGAAATCGAGTCGCGAAATTATTGGACATTGCACTCCAGAACAGACAAGCAGACAAACACTGCAAGAACATGTTTTTATCAAGAACCAGAGATGTACCAGAGTCAGAGCAATAATTGTGGGAATTCGAACGGCAGCGACGTCGCCGGCAACCAGAGCGCCTCCAGTGCTCAGAGAGGTATAAGGGGCCTCATTTCGGCACTTCTTACCAGCATTCGTTCCTTTCTCGGTCGCCTGCCTCTCGCGTCTTGTGCTCACCAATTTCAGAACCGTTTCGAGACCTAGGTCCGCAGAAAGTTCCACGACCGCAGGTCATCCTCAGGTTGATAATCAGGAGAGCAATTCGAGTCCGATCTGACTGACGGTGAAATCACCCCAAACTGCGCTAAAAAAACTGAACCTGGGAAATCCGGCGCCTATCATCGATACTCCTAGTTATTCGTGCCTTGAAGAACGTCTCCCACCAGCGACGCAATGGCGAAACTCACGGACACCTCCATGCAGCTCGTTCTCCTATCCCTCGTCTGCCTTTTGCTGCTCTCCCGCTCGCTCCCTCGCATCGTCCACCTAAGCGCGGAGTCGCGCGCACGCGCCAGGCGCACGAGGAGTACCGCCGTCAGCGCCAGCTGAACGACATCGAAGAGCGCCCTGGGCGCCCGCCTCTCCACATGTTCGAAACGAAGGCGCATCACGAGAAGGAAGAGCGCGAAAAGGGCGAATCCGGGAGCGACACTTCAAGCGCTCCGATCAAATACCTAGGCGGGCCCGTGATGACCGGAAACCCGTCCGTCAACGTGTACATCATCTACTACGGCAGCTGGCCGGAAGGTTCGGGGCAGAAAGTGATCGAGAATTTCATCAAGTCGCTGAGCAAGGACTCGAAGCGGCAGGGGGATCCTGCAGAGCCCAAGGTGAAGCGCTGGTGGGCGATCAGCACGGCGTACACGCAACAGGTGGATGGCGCGCCGACGAACGTCAGCACGAAGGTTCGTCGCAACACGCGGAGCGTCAGGAGGGAATGTCGCCTCGTACCGAGGAATCGTTTTTGCTGGAATCGAACGGTTGGCCCAACGCGACCTGGATGATTGGGTCATCCGCTCAATCGAACATTGAACATCGAGATTAGGGTCATTGCAAGCACACAACCCTCGATATTCGCTTTCATCTTTATTTCTCAACTCACAAACTTGCTCGGTTTTATCCCAGGTGCGCCTCGCGGGGACCGTCTACGACAACTACTCAGCGGGAAAGAGTTTTGCCGACGGCACAGTCTGGAACGGTACCGTGCGACATGCTTTGTGGTTTCCGAGATAGAGAGGGAAGGGGAGTGTGGGGAAGGGGGGAGAAGGGGTTTGCTGTTCCGGCATTCAAAGTTATCCGCCGCTGTTTATTCGCATCTATGCGCCATCTTTACTAAGGAGATGTCAGAACTCGTTTCTGTCACAATCGAAGCCATTCCATGCCCTCTTTCTGTCGCAGTGGTTTCGAGCAACATTGGCGATGGGAAGGCGTTTGCGTACGACGCGAGTGGTATTTATTTACTCCTTTCTAGCGAGGATGTTACCGTCCCCGGTTACTGTAGCGATTATTGCGGATGGCACACCATGGACTATATCGGAGAAAAACCCGGTTGTGTATTCGTTCGTGGGGCATCATGGGCAGTGCCCCGACGGTTGCGGGGCGCAGAGCACGTCGCCCAACGGGAACCCTGCGATCGACGCGACGGTTTTCTACCATCGCTCATGAAATTGCGGAAGCAGCAACCGACCCCGGATGCTGCGAACGGGTGGATGGACGATAGCGGCGAAGAGAATGCGGACAAGTGCTCGTACGACGTTGGTACGACGAAACCGGGTCAGAATGACCGCGGGGAAACGTTTGAGTACAATCTGGTTGGAATGAAGAACATGAAGTTTCTGGTGCAGCGGAACTGGGATCGGGTGAAGAACGAGTGTGCGCGGCGCAAAGGAAGTTCCACGACTGAAGACTTGGGATGAAAATACTTTGACTCGGGCAATAATGGCTAATAAGCGGTGCTGCAGTGTTGTTTCGCTGGAAATAATTTTTTGATATATGTGACCGACAATATAATGCATTATTTCTCATCTCTTGTACCAACTGCATACATGTCCCGTCATCGACCACATCATTCCCCCTTGTTACGAGTGCAATTGAGTGAACGAGCGAGAATTGCACTATCGAAGCAAGAGTACAATGAGCGAAGGCAATGAGCGAAGAATATATAGCGAAACTACAGTGGTAACGGTAATGAACTGTGGTTGTCGCGCGACGAGCCTGGGACTGAGGTTGGGAAACATGTCGAAGCGTAGGCCCGGAGCGCGGGTTACCCGCCGAGCCGTGAGGTCGGGGTGCGATGTGCGAAAATGCGCGGGATGTGTGTCGATGCGATGGTCGCGAGTGGTAACAATGCTGACTGAGGTGCTACAGTGATGTACGCGATGAGCAGGGATGCGAAGTAAGGAAAAGGGATTTTCCTTACACTACCCCCCCCCCCCCTAAGGAGGTCCCGTTTACGAAAGTGCGTGGACATCTTTGAAGTTTCGGCTGCGCAGGTACTCGGTTGAGGACGGGGTGGTTTTCAATTCTGTCCAGGGAACCCAGTTGTCCTCGGGTGGGTGTACGATCTTTCCAGCGGATCAGAAACTCAACTTTTCGGGCTCCGCGAGGGTCACGAACTCTGTGGCTCAAGATTTTTTCGGGGGTGATGACTGGTTCGGTTGGTGATCGTGTCATGCTGGATGGCCGATGTCGTGGGAGTGGCTGGTGGATGGGACGTACGGGCGAAGCAGACTGACGTGGAACGAGGGGCTGACGTACCAGTCAGCAGGGAGGAGGAGGTGCGCAGTGACGGGTGTGATCATGTGGCTAATTCGAAATGGCCCACAGTATCGAGGGCGGAGTTTGGGAGTGATGGGCAGGCGGAGGTTTTGAGTGTCGAGTAACACGAGGTCGTCGGGCTCATAAGTGACGGGTCTGCGGTGGCGATCGGCGTTGCGTTTAGCGATGATATTTGATTTTTTAATTGCTTCTCTCTGCCCTGGTTCGTGCTGCTTGCAGAATCTCGGCGAACTGTTGTGCGCGTGGAACGGGATTGTCGGGATTCGGTGTCATGGGTACTGTTGGGTCCTGTCCGTAGTTCAAGTAAAATGGCGACTGTTGGGGGGGGATCGTGGCGGTGGCGCGTTGTGTACGCAAACTCGATGAGAGGCAGCTGCTGTTCCCACGTGTTCGGATCGTCGCAGCGTGGCTCGAATCAGCTGCTCCATGGTCTGGTTTGTCCGTTCTGTCTGTCCGTCGGTTTCGGGGTGGTAGGATGAGCTGAATTGCAGTCGCGTGCCAAACTGCTGCCACAGGTTCCGCCAGAAGTTGCTTGTAAACTTCGTGTCTCTGTCGCTAATGATGATCGATGCTGGTATCCCGTGTAGTCGAACGACGATCGAGATGATGAGGCGGGCTGTTTCCTCGGCTGTGATTGATTTCT